CTTTTAGTTTCTTGATGGAATTTCAAATACATCGTTCTAAAGAGGATTAAATAAAATAGTCTCTTAATGCTCTTTAAGCCAATTGAACATTTTTTCCTATCAAATTCCTTATATATATTATCTGCATTATTAATCTTTTTTGAAAAATTAACTATTATTATCGTTATCTTTAAACTTATTCAGACTTTAAATAAATTAATTAGCCGATAATTCCAGATTTTTAAATCTTTTTATGATTTTTAGTTAACGGCTCGATCGATCTGTTTATCTAATTAAAAACAATATACATAAAAATTATTTATATTTCAAAAAAATAATAATTACTAGAATTATTTTTAGTTTTAGTACAATTTTAAAATATATTTTGCTCTTATTGAACGTGGAAGAAGGGGAAAAAATAAAAAAATAAAGTTGAAAATCTTAAAAAAAAGTCAAACAACTAAATTACGAATAAAAAAACAAATCAAATAACTGCAAACACAATATAATCGACTGCATTCTCTATTTTTGTGTAAGTTTTATTTTGGACACTCCCCGTAACGAATGCATTGGGGACCGAAAAAATATCCTCGATAAAAAAATATAAAACTGGAGAATATGTAAAAATCTCCCATGTGTGTGTGGTCAGAATGACTATAAAACACGATACTATGAAATCTTCGACCATCAGAAAGAGAACAGTGATCTTTCTTGACAGCACTCTACATCTTAGGTGATAAGATCTGCTAGAGAGAATGATGTGATTTCTCTCTACTCTACACAACTATTGTCACATGGAACCAATGCCACTCTCCCTAACTTAGAATCGATTTTAGACATGACCCCAAGGGAGACACGAAGCAACGTGACCTTCTGTCTTTTAATACCTTCAAAGTTTGATAGAAAAAGGTCTTTTTTACCTAATTTTTTCCAGCCGTCTGACTTTCTATTCTACCACCCTTATCACCAGACACCGCAGCTTGGGGCTGAGGGTATGTTACGGTCTACCAGAGACCAAGAATGAACGCCATATCGACCACTCGGTCCCTGTGGATCCCTTCCCTGACTCATCGTCCACGCATTAGTGGACACCGAGCATCGACGCTGCTTTACGTGATCAAGTTTTAGGGCTGGCAACTTTGTCGAGTGTTAGGATAGTGAGTCATAGAGTATATGGATTTATTATATTACGAGTCGGTACGTTTGCAGTTTAGATCTCTTAAGAGCACTCTATCTGCAGCGTTTTTGTAAGTCGGAGAGTGCTGCTGATTAAAATATACTGTTCAAATTCACGCTATATACCCGGAGAAGTTTTAAAAGACCTTATAGGGTCTATATATCCAAAAGAAAGTTTTATCACTTTGCATGGATTGATGGTTTTTGCTATATACAGTATATATATATATATATATATCGTCGAAAGTTTAAACGGAGATTTAAAGCGGGCTTAGATAGACTGAATGGATTAGTCGTGCATAGCTATCTTGTTTACACTGGCTGAATCCTGATCTTTTTCAATAAAAAAAAGTATTGAATATGCTAAAAGAAAACAAGAAAAATCTACATAAGAACATTTCGAGCAAGTCAATTTTGTCGTGCAAGTAGTTGTCGAAATCTGCCTATCAGTCGAAAAAAGACGTCTCAGTGAAACTTTCCCGTATTTGTTGATATTCCAAATAAAAGTAGCTGTTTCAATATTCGAGTTGACTCTTGTAAATAGATACACGGTTGCTCTCTGGTCATCTGCACCGACTTCGAAAAAGGAATCTGCCTTTCTCTCTCTTCTGTGTGTCCTGCTCCGAGCACTAAGTTTATTCCCTATTGGAGCTGCCAGCCTTAGCCATTTCTGTTTAGTCTCACTCTACCATGCACACTGACTTCTGAATACTTCTTGTGTCGGATTGATGGGAGGATATACCGACTTCTATCCAACGGACACAACGTAAGAGTTTGCCGTCTTTCTGAGCCGCATCAAATCCTCGGGAAATGAAAGCTGCCAGCAAATCCCTTCTGAGAATGGTCGAGTCCCTTGGCAATGTGTCGATCACTTTCCACAAGTTGAACTAGGGAGAGGAGATTACGATCATCCCTCGAGATTAGGAATAGAAGTCTCCGCAGAAATGAACCGAATGTCATTGGAGACAGTGCAGTTTTAACTCCCTCCGAGAGTTGACTTGAGAACTTACTTTTGTGTGTTACCGACAGGTCACTAAGGTCATTTTGCGAAGGGATTAAATACGGTCTAGCGGTGTGAAGAGGGCTTTACTTATCAATTACTCACTCTTCGATCCGATGCAGCAGCTGAGACCGGATAACTAACCATTCTCGACAGTTACAATATATAAAATAATAATTCCTACTTTAAATATTATCATTATTCAAACTTATACACAAAAATCCTTTACATATTTATTAAATATTACGAAATATTTTTTTATATGATTTAACGAATTTTAGCGATTCCCACGCTTAAAAATTGATTGTATACAAATAAGTAAAATGATATCACGCTAACTTTTTGTGCTTTTTAAATATAATGAATCAGTTCAAATACATAATTTCGGAGGCAGCTGATGGGGGTGGCGGAGGTGCGCACAATAGAATGTCATCTGGCGTAGAGCGGCAGCTGCACCCGACTAACCCATTGTGTGTCATGTCTGCATTCATTGTGTCTACGGAAGGGACGCTTGATAAATTATAGCAGCCAATAATATAAGGACCCTTATTATTGCACTTTCCCGAGGGGGGAATGCCACGTGTTCTGATTTTGTCTGGATTGGGGGAACCGTTTTTTGGTGTACGCTTCGGGAAAAATGTTCCCGGTTGTGGCTAACCTTACCCACAGGATTCGAGAACACACTCGAAAAACTTACATTTTTCTCGTTTTAAAAATTTCATTATTTATTAAGTACGAGTTTTGATACATTTAGAAGCATCCTCCCGTTTGTCATCGTAATAGTTCTTGGATGTAATTTCGATTCAAAAAGCGTTTCAGTCTTTTAGAACGTGTTTAAATTTTTAAATAAATTCTAACTCTCTCGATAATCTAAACATTGACTTTTATAAATTTTTGTCATTAATCTTGAACAGGATTTTATCGTTCGTGAATAAACAGAGTGCCATCATATTCTGTAACTCGGATACTCCGTAACTATTAAGAATATCAATAAAAGTGAATCTTAGGTCCCAATCCACCAAAATAACAGTGATTGGACGTAATAGAGTCAAGAAGCCGAGCCAGTCGTAAAACATAATTTATCAAAAATTGTCTTTCTCTCTTCACTTGGCTCAAGGGAAAGTTGTGAGGGGGTATATCGGATCATTGTTGCTATAGCAACATCCGACGTAACAGCTGTGGCTAAGCGTTAAATAGATGGCAGTGTTTGAGACGTAATGTCCTACTTAATGTCGTATTGATTCTATTTGATAGAGTTTCAGTGGTGACAATTGCATTTATCATATCTTCAAGCGATACTCACTAAATATACAGTCTCAATTCAGTATACCCCATTCATCGGATTTTGATGAGGGAAATTCAGATATAGAAATCCCTATTCGAAAAATCATAATAAGATAGTATCGTCATCAATGTGTAAGGTAGGCAAAGACAAATGACCATCCGAGCCGTAAAAACTTCAGCTAAAGGGGAAAAAAATGACATAAATCGCGTTTTTATGACCCAACCTATAAATTAATTTTTAAAAGTCAAGTTTCCTCCTTCATAGACTACTAGAGAAGTGTTGCATTAGGCTTTCCGTTATGAAAGAACACGCGATTTTCCTAAATACTAACTTTCGTAACTGAATAGAGAGTGTTAAGAGTCGTTTTCTGTCAGTGATTTCGGTATAAAGGTTTGCAAAAGAATCGAAAATAAAGGATGATACTCTTCTTTCAATTAAAATAAATTTCCGAAGAGAGAAAGAATACGATTCAATAGGAAAGAAAGAATATAAATCCGTAAAATCTGTGGTCTTTATTCTTAAAAACAAGCCATGGAGAGCACAAGAGGTAAACTGTTGAATTAATCCCAGTCGAGCCACACTTTTCTCTCACTTATTGATTTGTTTCCATCGGAATAAGTGGAAGCACAGATCGTATGCATCAATTTCCTGGCAGCATCGCTGTTGCTGCACGCTTGTGTGGCGATCAAACCAAACCCGGTCTAGCTTTGACACAATCTAAACCAGTTCTCTTCTAGGAGTTGACAGCAGCTTTTTGACCGAATCGAATACAAAACGATTGGTTTAGTAACAGACTTGTCTGTAAATTATTTACAAAAATTCCACCACTTCTCTAGAGTGTTTTTCTTTCTTGCTCTCTGACTACTCGGATGTTACGAGATAAGTGATTTCGCAATGGAAAAAAAGGAGCATTTTTATTACTGTTACTACTAAAATTAAAAATCTTTTATATATCTTTAATTAGATTTAAAAACGTTTTATTTTTTAAATAGAATTATATATAGGTCAATATGTATTTAATCTTTATTAATTATTAATCGAGAGTGTATGACCTAATGATATCGTTTCTTAAACTGGTAATTATCTTTTGATAAATCGCCAGAAATTGAATTGATAAAATGTTAAATTGATTTTGATTTTTATGACTTCAAATCTGAAGAAAATGGTTGTAGTTTTACTTAAAATGACATTTGCATCTCCTGCTCCCCATCCGACAAGCTGTAATCTGTTTGATTGAACTTTCCCCCTTCTCTTTTGCATACTTGGATGTTGATGGGTATGAAGGATGGACAAAGTTTCCTTCTTTCCCATTTTCTGATTTAAACTGTAAAAAAAGCACTTTAAAGTTTCCGTTTCGAAATGTTTTGCTATCGCAATTAGCTATTTGTATCTAAAAAAAAAAAAAAAGAATTAGACTATGATTGATATCCGAATCTTTAATTTCCAAGTTGGAAAGAGGTTTTTAAACTTTCATCGTAGAGCGATCCGATTTTGATTCGAAAAAAATTATAATAAAATTACTTAAACCATAGGTATAAAGGCAGACCCATACAAAAAATATATGATAGGGATATTGTATTTATTGCTTCACCATCTCAACATTCATACAAAATTACTGCTGAGGACGAAGGGGGGATGATAACGATGATGATGAGGTCGTTGTGATATAGCTATTTACACATCCGTTCTTAAAATAAGTTTCTACATTCTAATAAGGTCTCCATAAGGTCGGGTCCGAATGACCGTTAGTCGTGGAATTAAACATGGCTCCCGCTGTAGGTGTTGCCTGTCGAGATTCCCCGTTACCATCAGGGAAATCTGCGGATCTTCCCGAAACGTTAACTTCCGATCGCTGAGATATGCTAGCTTCAGTTGCAGATCTTAACTCGTTTCCTAATAGGTGAAGAGACGAGTGGCTATACAGCTGCGGATATAGCAGTGATGGTGGTACTACCGGTGATCCAATGTACATACCCGTCGAGGAAGCACTAGTGTTATTTCCATTGCTGTAGTAACCGTGAGACGATAATAGACTGTAGCCTGGATGGCTTGCAGATAAGTAGGGACTAGTTGTAGTGCCGGGAAGTAACGATACCGTTGTCGACGGTGTTTGTTGGTTAGTTACTCCACCCAATCCCTGACGTAATTCACTCAGTCTATCAGTAAGACAAAGATCGGCCGCTGCTAGAGCATTGTTGTATCGTGAAACTAGAAGAGAATCCGCTTTGAGTAGACTACTGTTGGATTCGGTTAGGGAGGGAAAACCGGCTGGAGTTGTAGGACCTCTTTCCGAAAGACCTGATTGAAAAGAGGAGAAAGGTCTTAAATACACGAAAGCGCATAAGAAAATTAATAAATTAACTTAAGCCACGTTAAATCAAGCGAATATATTAGTTATATATAACAAAGTAAACGCTAGCGGAATAGTCGAAGCGTGGATGTTTCTGTTAATTGTTACGTCACTAGAGTATGAAAGACAAGACTAAGTACCGGATGTCAGTTGGCTGCCTGACGTACAGGTGTCATGGGATGCTGCCGACGTGCCTGCTAGGGCTCCGTCTAATTGGTAAGTGACAGCAGCCGAACCACTGAAGCCAGAACCTTGTAAAGACGAGGCTGGTGTCAGATAAGGTGTGTAATGGGAAGCATATGGTGTCCAATGGGCATCAGTTCCAGTCAGATGAAGTGCTTGAGTCGGATCTGAAAGACGAATGGTACAATTAGTAGCTTAATGACGGCTCTTCTTACATTCTCCTTCCATCTCCTACAAGAAATTCTCTAGCATTATTCCAGTTAACAAATGATAAGTTTCTTTTATATTTGCAACCGTAAATTAATTCGATCTTTAAAATAGAATCAGCGATAAATACTTTCGATGATTAACGTTTAAAATTGCATCAGTAATGGAAATACCGCAATTAAAAAGCATAAATTAAAAGTCGAGTCTCATGAGAAACTAATTATCTAGTTTCTAGCAGTTTTGTGATCGAAATGATCAATTGATCAAATTATCATCTAGCTTGATCCACGGTTTTGGGATGCGCAACTGTCACTTTTAACTGCCATCGAGAAGAAAAGAATTTCGAACCGCAAACCGTATCAGATAACCAAGAGGACGATAGAGAATTGCCGATTGTGTTAATGGCCAGAGACAGATTCTTGGCGTGGCTATAATCCTTCTCCGTATCCAAGCCACTGTTCGGAATTTCACTCCTAATTGTCTCATAATTCTACTTCTGTAAGACTGCTATGTAAAGAAAAAAGAATTTTTCCTCTTCTCTTAACTATTTATGCTATTTCTTTTGCGAATTTCTGACGTTAACAAAGATTCCTAAAAATGAAGAATTTCCTATCCAATCATTGTCGTCCATAGCCCAAATAAATCAGCGATAGGCTATTAAAATCAACTTTAATTTCTATAATATTCAAGCTATTTATTAACTATTGATTTCTCCTCAATACAAAACAAAATTTAACAACTTCATTACTAAATTAATTTATTAACAAAATAACATAATAGGCCTATAATGCTTAGAAATTACATATTTTACCAATCCCATCTCATCGATATTAAATTAAGACATTACATTTCATTTAAACGTTCGGAATTCAACATTAATTATTAAAATATTTAAGACCAAATTTATAACTGTTAATAAAAATATTATTATTAAGATTATTTAGGCAATCAAACAGTAAATTTTCCGACGATTCTCCAAGATAATATGATAAAAATTTATGCATAGGCCTATTGTTAAAGAACTGGAACAAATTTTAAATACTGTATTTGCTTCAGTTCTGCTATTTCTTAACATTTGTTTAATATCAAGTTAATTTTTAAAATTTAATTCACAGTTAAATATCTGCCTCCGTAATAATCCTTCTGTTTAATATAAGTTTAAATCTCAAACAAATGCAGGTTGTTTCATATATATTTTTCCACCAAAAAAAATTATTCATCGACAAAAATCTATATTTTATGATGCTGAAAATTCTCTTCTTTACAGTTTGATTTGTGCACAGAGAAATTGTTCCAAAAACTTGACCTATGTTCACTTAAGTAGAATTCTCCTCCGGCCTCAGATATTGCAGTATTATTTTCTCCCGTTACAAAAAGAAAATGGAGCGAACAATAGGTCAATTAAATGCTCAGTTTTTTATTACGATAAGGCCTTAAACTTATATAATATAATAATTAATAACTTCTAGTCGAAAATTAAAGAAAACGTAAAATAAAAAAACTATATATCAAACCCAGAAAGAAAGCCCAAGGGCTAGATTTGACTTCCGAGTGGATTTATTTAGTTCACGCTATAATATAACTTTCACCCTCCTCTTGCCCTAAACAAAAATAGCAAATATAGGCCTAAAATTGAGGGGGGGGGAAACATTTCCTTTATTGTGAGGTGATGTGAGTTTATAATCGTCAATGCCTATAAGCGAGATTAGAATGCGTAAAATTAAAAACCAGTTTTTTTTTACTATCTTTATTCTACAGTTATGCATTATTTACGAAATTACATAAAAATACTTATTATAAATTTAGAATTATAATAAACAGACTGCGCAGTACGTTGGAATCGCTATTATACTAATGCCACATAATAGTATAGGTTATCAATTAGACGCATACAGCGATTAAGCTATTAATTAATAAGAAGAAATGTATTGGAATTAAGTTTGAAACAAAGGCCAAAGTATCGAGAATTGCGTAAGATTGAAAACACTGGAACCGAACTCAGAAATGCAGCGCCTAGCCACCTACCCTGTAATTATTATAGTGGACTACACTCCTAAACAACAATTAGCTCCCCATCGACGCCCATAATGTAATTTGTATGCCATCCACTCTATACATTTCACGTTGTATACATGCGATACTTCTCAAATTCATATTAAAACGAGCCCTTTCAACTTTACTAGAATATATTCGAGATTGTATTATTTAAAGGGTCGATAGACATCAACTATTGAATACAAGCAGGGCGACGTCAAACCATTAAACTTCGCAAACACCGATCTTTCAATAGTAAATGCTGTATAATGGCTTAAAATGTGATAGTTAAATATTTTAGAGTGATGATGGATGCACCGACCACTCATAGTTAACGGGTTGCATAGCTGTAGTTAAGTGCGACGTATGCGTTCAAAATAATTTCGATTTACAAATTTAATAAACTTAACTTTGCACATAATTCTATATCAGTTTTCAATTTAATCATGGAAATTGATTAAAGACTGCTACTGTTGTGAGATATAATCAATTAATACAATACGTGTAGAAGCTATGCGCTTCCACTGTATATAGTAACGCGTACGGCATAACCAGTCAAACAGAATCTACATAAACGCAGCTGTTGTAGGTTTGATATACACACAACTGTATACAAATCGTAATACGGAAGACGTTAAAGTAAGCTAAGCCCTACGAAGTACGAAAATCGCAGCAGGCACTCCACATTAGGCAATTGGTAACGCGTAGGGATTAAGAATGCAACTATGTGTATACGCACGAGTGAATTTACATTTTGCACCTTTATAAATGTAGCCGTTTATTCAATATAATAAAGCCTCGCACCGTTTGATTGCATTATAGTGGGTTGAACATTTGGACTATTATATGGATTTGGAAGGCGCTTCTATATTTAACAGTCCGCTTATAATATTTAACGTGAATTTACCTTAAAGCTGGGTTTAATTATGTAGTAGCACTCCTCGTCGTAATTATAAGATCCCCCTAGCTAGCATCACAGTAAGTTACCGCACGGTATAAAAGCCTTTACAATAACAGGGAAAGGATTTTAATTGAGAGCATTTGCACACAGAAAGAGAAATATCAAGTTGTCAAAAGTGCAGAACCACTAATTGTTTTCTCCAAGTGAGCCAGACCTGTTAAGACACCGCTTAACCGCAATCTCATCCACGTCCCAACAAACAACCGTAAGAATATCGGCAAAGCAATTTGCAATATTTTTACGACCTCTCCTTTCTCATCAGCGTATGATGAATGATGATGCTGATTTGTCATGTTCAGCTACTGCTTTAAATAATGCTACTTTCAATCGAAGTCTGCCATATAGATCTCCTTCAACCGTATGACTATCAACCGCTTCTAATTACGTCCCGTAATCAATAGTTTCTCGGTGCAGTCCGTAAATTAATCTAATCTCAGTGAAAACTTGAACTAGATGACGTGATGTGGAGCTGTTGGCTCGATATTGTCAAATGGATCAATATTTTGGTCACTTAGATAGTGCTTATTTAATGAACATAAAAGCATACTTTCTATTAGTTTTTTGTCGACGTAGAAGTAAGCGAGATGTTATGGAGAATATTTGGCGTGCCTACATTTAAAAATAAAATACAGGCTGTATTGCAGTCGCTTGAGGTATTGTGTAAGAGAATGATTTTTGAGATGGATCATTTTTGAGAATTAGCCCTGAGGATAACTTTCCACGTGCACTATGACAGCTAAAATGCAGCCGAGCGGTCGAACATTCCAATCGCATCTATACACGGGGTGGAGATGATCTGTAATGCTAGGTTATGCTACCTTAGAGATAAATGACTAAACTTACCTTGGGCAGGACCGGGAGGTGCGGGCATTCGACGTGGAAGTTCGAGAGCCCACTGTTCTGCTGTCTTCCTCCTCAAATGTTCCCATTCTCGAAGAGGATCGAGAAATGTCGGACGCTGTCCAAAGGCACTGGCAAACGCCCGTAACTGTTGTTGCTGCCCTGTCAAAACACAAAATCCAATCAGCCTTCGTTATTACGCGTTATTAAGCGAACTACTAGCATACTCTTAATTATCGCAATTATAAATGCCGGCAGTCATTTGGATTAAATGACATTTAACGCTTTTTTAAACGCTTGCGTCGCCTCGAAATATGGCGCCTATCTGCTTCTCGCTATTCTTAACAATGTGTAAAGCCGGCGATCACGTGACGAACCCACTAAATATCAAACCGGGCTCTTTCCATAATACAAATGTACCTGGTAGCGAATTCCAAGATAGAGTAGATACCAGGTGAACGATGTGATTTAGTGGGCGTCGGATGACACCCGTCTAACAACGCACTTAATGATACAGCTATTCGCAGCATTAAGTCTATTATCGCTTTTTTCGTCCGCTGCACATCCCATCATAATAGTGGGGTAGAAGATATTTAATAGCCGGTCTATACTTGTAAATCCTGGAACTATAGTGCTACCGGAACAATGCAGGATTACTTTTGTTCTCCAAAATTCACGCAAGCTGTTATTGCTGAATATGACTTACATAATCGACAAAAATGATCAATTTCGGCAATTTTTTGGACAGGGTCGTTCTATAGAAGAGAAAAAATAGAATAACGTACGTTTATTTTTAACGGCGAAACACACTAATAAGCGGGGACTCACCGATCTGTGACAATTAACGATTACAGTGGTTCCCACCCTACTACGGGGCGCACCTCTCTAGGGGGGGTGCGAGTGGGCGCAAAAGAGAGAGGGATGAGGGCGGAAAAGCTTTCCTTATTTTCGTTACTAAAGCAGTTCACTCTCATAACACCCAAAAACTATAGCGCACACCCTCACTGCAATTAAAACGGCAGCAAAGTAGGTTAAAAGAATACGGACTGTATTTATTTATGTTTAAAAAAAAAGCGCTTGGGGTTTTATTTCTCGATCTAATCTTCGAATCGTTGGCAGACATATGCCCTCGCAACCGAGTCTAATTATCTGCTGCGCCGGAAGCCGCGTAATTCAAGACATGACTTGCGTCAGTCGTATACAGCCAGGTCTGTCATATACACTTGTTACTCCGGTTGTAAAAAAGCGACCATCAGCTATAATATGTTGTCTTGCCGCCACATTACCTGACTGAACTGCAGCGAGGTGCACTGACAAAAACATATTGGCTGCCTCGGAAATTACAACGCATCTCTCAAATAAATAGCAGAAATTTCAGCTCCATTGAAGCACGCCTCTGGTCTTATCTACAGCCCGTAGGCCGCCTCGGAAGAACCAGAAAACACCTGATATACAGATTAACCAACGCCCGTTGTATATAACAGATGACTATGGACGACATATCAGAAGCTCGCACCGAAAGACCAGGCGGCATGCAGATAAGGTAGAACAGAGGATGAGAATGTGGTATGCCCGATCACTTCCCTCCCCGTTACAGATACGAAGATCCCATCCGGCCTTTTCTAATACGGGGATTAACGAATTTCAAAAGCTTCTCTAGCCGGGTAGTAATGAATAATTCGAAACAGTCTCCTCCCCCGTCCAATATGAAACACCGTGATAAAGTTCAACCATTGATCCGGATGCCAGCTGTTACTGTGGACAGCTGTTGTGTTTGTGAGAAACATGTTATTAGGGGTGCGGCATGGGTTATTAGAACGGGTCAGCAAAGACTCAAAACGAGTTACGGTAGCTACAATTGGGGTGGGTGTTCGCCCGTGCCGTGCCCAGTTCGTTGCAATTCATCAACTCTATAATATACCGGTATGGTACAAGGAAGTGTTTGGGTTTCGGCGTGGCCCGGGGGACTTGCGGGGATTCACCTTGCTCTATTTTTATGGAGGCGCAACGGGGAGGAATTGCCATCGATTAATTCGCACCCCAAAGCTCGAATTGTGCGCGTAAAACCTAGCAATTTTACTCTTTTGTAAAGGATGAAGGTGCAGCAAACTGTGACGCCACGCCGCCTTTTTTCTCTTTCTCTTCTCAGTTAATTTCGATAAGTAGCTTAACTCGGGACATGCTTTATCCTCATTGAATATGTAATTAATAAATTTACGGCTTGTAGCATTTTAAGTCTTTGCAAGTGACAAAAGACGGTTTTTGGTTTCTTTTCCTTAGCTGATTTTTCTGTCTTTATTTTTGCGGTCGACTGAACCAGAAACACAGTCGACAACATTGCCAATCGACCAGAAACAAATTTTGTTAAGGAATCTCCAAAAACTGTAAACTTTTAATAATTTTATTAAAACTCTTTACTTAAAAACTACTAATTGATTTTCTTAACTTAATTTCTTCTATGCCCTACGCTAAATCGATTCGAAATCCTGATAAGAACACACCAACAAACATTGTTAACTTATTCTATAATATTAATTTTATTAATTATAATATAATTTAACTATTTATTAACATAAAAAACTATCGACTAACACAATTTACTAGTGTAACCTTCGCCGAGGAAATTTAAAATGTTTTACTTTATAAATTTTACTGGTGTTAATTATTGCAAGATATAATCTATGAGCACTTAAATGTATAATATCAATAAAGATGGATGAAACCGCTTCAATTTAAACAGTAATTAACCTCAAAAACTCGGGGCTCGTTTTATTATTTTTATCATTTGTAACACTAGTAAATTATGTTTGAATTTTTAGAATTAATTATTAAACTTAATATTATTTTTAACTATTCAGAGCATTTTAGCGGATAGCTTCCGTTACGAGTACCATTAGAAACAGTCACTCGAAGAAGAAACTATCCAATCACATATCCCAATAAACCATTCATAACAACCATTACTGGATGGCCGAACCACACCCATAATTGCCACTATAGAAGAGAAACGGCAATCGAAAGGGTGGTTCGAAACTCGACAAATGGACGTTGGGCTAAACTAGGGGAGGCGAAAGGGGAACATCAGTCATCCACATGCACTCAATTAGCGGAAACGTACGGGTCTTACTGCGTGGTTCTCTTGGTCCGTCAACGGTCACCTTGATTGCTTTACAATATGTTGCCACTTGAGGAGGACTCGTGCTGACTGTGATGGTCAACGTGAAGCTTTTACCTGTAAGAGAAACGGTAATTAGTTTCGGAAACGGCATCGATAACAAAACCGCAAACCGTTCTCTTCGCTTTTTTTATGGGAGAGAGCTTTAAAAAAATTTCTTTTTGTGTATTCTTTAAACTGTCAAATTTACAGAAAATCCCGAAAGTGAAGGTTGGATTAAGTGCGTCCCCTAAAAAAAGCAGGTGAGATGACCATAGCGATCAGCTCTTTTCCTGAAGCGACCGAGTGAATGACCAACCCGAAGAAGGGATGTCAATAATAGTTAGGAGTTAGCGTTGCTAAGCTAGATGACTTCTGACATCTGGGAGAAATCCTGACCGAATTAGATACGAGCAGTTTTTCTAACAATTCGGAAAGGTTAGTGGCTTAAGAAGGCAGCCGCCATTTTAGATTTCGGCCACTTTCGCAGCAATGCCAGAAGAATGACTACAAAAGAATTTGTTTTATCGCATACTCGAAACACAGCTCATTACATTTCTCTTGCTAGACAATGAATATACATTAATCCACTTCTTATTTATTTATTTTTTCCTTCTTTACAAAAATAAATAAATAAAAATTTTCTCTATAAACTGCTTGTTAATCCGGACTCCTAATTTGAATATTTAGTTATTGCATTTAAAATTTAAGTTTCGACAATTAGTAAAATCTATCTCAATTATAAGGCCAATTATTTACAAAATATTTTAATTTTAATTCTTTTATAAGTAAAAAGTTTCATAAAATTATCAAAAATTATTTAAGGTTTTCGAAGAATATCTCATTATTTGGCTTAATACTTTGATAAGTTAAATTTAGCATTATTTATACTTCATAACCCTTAAAATTAAACCAGAAGTTACAACCCACAGGTAATTAATCTACGGATTATGTTAAGAATTAAGTGACTAATGATTAACCTTAGACTTCTAACTAATAATTAACGTTTAACAATTTTATATAATCTAATAATAAAGGCCTACTATATACTTATACAATAGGCACAAAGAATAAAATTTTCCCACTAATTTTTAATAAGATATATAAAAAAATTAATTTTTAATAAAATTATTCGTTCAAAAGTATATACTTATTAATTTAATATACGATACAATGATTATTTTACTATTTAACTAGTGAATGATATCCTTAAATTATATAAAATCCATGTGTTAGAACTTGTATTCGATCCGCTCTGCTACAGAAAACGCGCATCTCTCGGGTCTATGACATGGCCTAACCAATTTCTATTTACTTTATATGCAATTAGTACGACACTAAAGTTTGGTAGCTTTAAAAAAAATTCTATACACGAACCTTCCATTTGAAAGGTAGAACGAGATACGCGACTTCTCTATTCCTTCCGTAACTAGAATCTAGTGACATGATTGGAAGACAGATTAAGGGGGATCAAAGGCTGTCCGACACCAAATTTGGTCGGAGTTTGTTTATTTGCTAGACCTCAACTAAATTTTGGTGTCGGACTAACCTCTATCCCACTCTTCGACGGAGCAAACGAATTTATGACGATATATTCTTGCTCTAAATCAATTTTTACATAAAAAATAGACCATAAACCAAATTTTTAATTACTTTCAACCGCATCGGTTAATAATATATTTTCTGATCTATAATAAATTTCGTGCTGTAAAGAAAAGCGTTTAAAAATTACACCATCTTCAAAATTACTTAATATTTTATTAAAGGAGATTTTCACATTTCTTCTCTTGACCTCAAGCTTCGTAATACCCTTATTATAGTATAAAAGAGGAGTACAAATGTGCATAAAGTCTGCATCTTATTCCTGTCCTCATCTTAACATGAAAAATCCGTCTTATTGAAGAGAAACTCTGAATAGATAGATGCTATCCGAATTTAATGTTATCTTCTTGCATGAACCTATAAAGATTTCGTTCGCATTAAGTTTATGTATACAAAAAAAGACGTAAAGAAATCTTATTTTTTTATGAAAAAAATAGAGGTTATGCCATTTTGTTTATTTTCTATAATAAATCCTTTTTATAAGTGTCGAATACGCGATACGTTCTAAGCTTTAAACATTGTTTAATTTACAATAATTCGTGCCTTATAAAAATCTTAGTTCTTTCTTAAATAAAATTAAAACTTTATTTTTTATATTTTTTTTCTAATCACCAGTTCAAACTCGAGTAAGTAACTAAATAAGGAAGTTACGTTTATCTATCTTCTTTCTGGATAGCCTTTCTCTTGGGAAAAGTTGCGCTCTGATCCCTTTCAGGTCGTAAGGGGCAAAAAGGTTACATTAATTGCGGATCTTTACAACATGGCACGGAATTAGCTGACCTACTTGCCGACTAGAGGTCAGTAAAAGTAATTTTTTTTTATTTATTTTGTAGGAGTTGCATCTTTTTTTTTTTCGTGGTTATTTCTTGTACGATTGTATTCCTAATGCTTCTTTCATTTCAATTGGGACGCGCTCAATTATTCATCAAGAGGGTCATTGTTGCCGATATTATATACAACTAGGGATAGAAAATAAACGAGAATTTTATCGTTCGGTTTAGCATACACACACATTAAACAATGGTCTATTATACGTAACGAAAAACCGAGTTTTAAACTCGTTTTCCACTTATAGATTTTTGCATTATTGCGGAATTTAAATAAAAATAATCATAAAATATTCCTTCAGTTCTTTGTTTACGGTCTTAATTACTAATCCGTATCCATTTAATTCCTATTGTACAGAAAATGTTTTGCTGGAAACTTATGGCAAAAAACGACAGAAAAGCAATTATCATAACCGAAAATCACTTATGGATTGCGGTTGGCCGTTGGTCGTTTCTGTAACAAACACTTAGAAAAGTATGGTTTTCTGGTTTAATTAGTGTAAAACCTAAAAAATTAGAGTGGTTAAGGTAAAAAATAAACAGGAAACAAGTCGGATGAGTCAGAGAAGCGGGCGAGGGAAAAACACAAGTTTGCGGTTGCTTGGTTGATGTGTGGTTTTGTCAGGCAAGGGCGTGACGGGAATAGTGATGTGGCGTCTGAAATCTCCAACAGTCGAACGGTGCTAATTTCACGAGACGACATTAAGCTCAGCCTCAAATGTCTCGTCCCAAGCGAATCAACTACTCTAACGCTTCCGATCAAACCGTAACGGGAAAACGAAAACGAGCGAGGGGAAAAAAAAGGCTCGAGCGCAAACACGTTAAGACTAGATTAACGATAAATTACTCGAACCTTCTCTCCTTTTAATATTTCCTTATTGTTTTCGGATGATTTGGAAACAGACCTTGGCACCCGTTAAGAAAAACAATAGAGGTGAAACGTTCTTAATTTTGATCCCCCGTTTGACCCAGTTGAACGCGCTATTTGCACCCCTAGACAATAGGGCAGTAGGTGGACCGAATTGTATTCTGTAGCTAGTTGCACCAGATAACTGTAGGTCTCTTAATAATACCCGAAGAAAATAATAATTATTAACGTGGGAATGTGTTTATATTCGTAAATTACCATCTAGAATAATTGGAATTTATGATCGTATTTTTTGTTTCTTTCTTATATGTATAATGGATGAGGGGCAGCCTTCCTATTGTAGATGTGAAACAATAAAGGTGATGTGTCATCCGATATGTTCTTGCGGTGTGCAGTGCACAAATTTCTGGATATTGGCTTGGCTGTTGGGTAAACATTCTGGCCAAGTCGGATGCAACCGTACAACGTTACCAGGTATTAAACTGTGCAAATATCGGCGGTATATATTTAATATGTAGAATTTGCCAGTGTTTTACTAAACGCGAAAAGCATTAAGCAATTCCGATTTAAATAAAAACACTGAAATTAAAGCATAACTTAAAAAACACCTGTAAATCACGCGGGAATATCTCGGTTGTGGTAGATTAAAAATCCTGACAAACTCGTGCTGGTTTTATTGATTGTTAAGCAATTCCACAGGTTTCGTCACATGGTTTTGGTTTGTAAACAAACATCACATAACCGTTATGCTTTGGAGTAACACAAAAGTAAACAAAACACTCACCTCTTCCACTTCTTCCCACGAATCTCAAATCGTTAAACTTGGCTACTTGATTTTTCATGACAGCCGATGCATTTCTTAATTCGCCACAGAAGTTCTCGTCATTTCCGGCCCTGATAGTGACCAGGGTGCCGTCAGTCACTTCACCTAGGGCCACAACCTTAAAGGCCACAGGTAGAGTTTTGTTAGATCTCCAGTGAGATGGCAACACTGAGCATACGAGATTTGGGCTTCCTGTCCTAACTAATTCACCAGGGTGTTCGCTGAGCACTTCACTCAGTGCACGCTCGCCCGATAGAAGAAAGTCGGTCATCATGTCTGTACGAACGGCAGAGTTGCCGTGCCGATCACGAGGAAGATGCATGAGGTTGTACGCAACCCGAACACCTATCTTAGACCCGACACGTTTTGCAGTGGACTGAATGGGAACGAACCACGCGCCACTCTCCCTCCCTGGATGGCTGATGCCGTATCACTCCGCCTAGTCGTGTGTGACGTAAGCGCCAATAGTAGTGTCTTCTGTCGTTCAATCTTCGCGTTTTTCTCACAGTTTTAAACGCCACTAAACACCACTCAAAATCAAATCTTCCAAGACTTAAAAACTTAAAACGTGTAATTTCAACACAGATTTATTTATTTTAAATGAGAAAAAAAGCGTAAAAAATTTCTCCAATTGAAATTAATCAGGAAGTAATAAATTACGAAGTAAAACGAATCGTTATAATTAACGACGTTTATGACGAAAACTATCAGTAATAAAGTGCATAAATCGTTACGCCAATTTATAACATTGCTATTTTTAAATTTACTAATTCCTGCATCAAAATAAATTATAATCCTACTTAATAATTTAATATTAATAAATATTTTAACACGAATTGTTAAATTATTTCAACTAATATCGTACTACAATTTAACGCGGAATGAGACAGAGAGTAAATCGCCTCCTATCAAAGAAGCGACCTGTTCCATTGTAAAATAGGGAGAGACGGTTTTACACGTGGAGTTATTGTTGAAATTATTTTCTTGTGTAGTTTAGAAATATAAAAATTTTTTAAAATTTAAATTGTGAGAATTTATCGTAATTCTTATTTAAAATAAATTAGCACAACACATATACTCTTACATCTCCACATTGAACACAGTTAATGGCTAAACTAATTGTTATACTTCTTCAAATCTGATACTTTTGCCTAATTTATTCTTGAAAATCGTTATAAATTCTATAAATTTCAATACAATTTAAGAAAAAAATTACACACAGAAGGAATAAAAGGATAATATCTAATACTATAATTTATATGACACATATAATGGAGGATAGATCATAATAGATGTATTACCCAATTAATTAATATAATAATTTATTTATTTTTTTAATTTTTTAAAAAATTTCTTAACTATCAAATATAAATATTTTGTTAGTTCTTTCGTTTCTTGATGTTATAACTCAGGTAGAGTGTAGAAAAAAGATTGAATAGAGCTTCTCTATTCTATTTTTAAAACTAGACAATTCTTTTTCTAGATTTATTTTTTTTTTAAATGAAAAAATTAGATTTGGTGAAATGGATTAAGAATGAATTTATTTTATTCGAAAACGGGAAAAAATGTTTTGTTTTTTTTCCAGTATTAGTAAAAAATTTTCTTTTGAGATGTTCTGATATAATACACTCTATGGCTATTCTACAGTAAACATGTACTCTGTGTCATAAAAGTTGCCATAAAACCTTTCTGTTGATAAGTGTGCTACGCATTCTTAATATGTAAGAAAATCTCGATATAACTTATATTGAAATTACGAGATTTTACTAACTTATTTTTAATTTTTTATCTATGGTGCAAATTACGACAATTATTTATAAAATAAAGCGATAAATTATTCAATGTGCTGTGCTTGAGTAATGAAAATTGGATAAATGTAAGGCCTTATATTATATCAAATGATATAAGTCAGTGATAATTGTGATACATCTTAAAAATTATTGTTAACGTCGGAAGTAACTTCATACATGAATGAAAGTGTAAACATTGCTCTATTTAGCTTCTCTGTCACTACACGAAAGCTCCGTTAGCTCTTTATCAATCAGAAGATGGGCGTATTTTTTTTTGTCTCGTTGACACCAATATGTCCTCCCTAAGGATTGCGGTAGGTGTTCTTGAATTATGATGCCACTTTTTTTGATGTTTATTCACCAATATCTTGCGTATTAGAATGGACTGCCGATTGTGTTTCGTATAGTACGTAAATTGAGATGCTTTTCAGTATCCAGCTGTAAAGAGGAAGACCGCTTCATCTTTCCAACGGATATTCTCCCTTGGGTCTACAAGAAAGCAAACCAGTGACGTAACTACTGTACCGCAAAATTTACGGTCGCGGGGTCCCGTATAATAAGCTTACATTTGTATTTTGTCATAGAATTTATTTAAAAGGAGACCCAATCATAACTTTTTGTTATAAGACCGGATTTTGTAGTTGTATTGGGGAAAACTTAAGCCTACTTATTTTGGCTAAGAAAGTCGGTCATGTTGCGTCACACCTTCTGTCAGACATCTTGAAGCTGTGGTAGGAATTCGTGTTTACTGACTTATTTTATATTTATAATATTTATATCAGATAATATTTTCGTGAAAGAATATTTAAGAAGTGGAATTTTATATTAAAATGATCAAATTTAATTTTAAAACTGCAACAGCGACTATAATTGGTCAATAAACGACTTTAGATGTTAATGACGAATCTTATTAAGGAGTTAATTCAAAGAACGGGTTTATTCTGCATAATTTTTCTTATATTCGAACATGATTTAGATGACTTTCTCAATTACCTAAATACTACAACTAACTAAATTACAATTAAACGACTTAGCGATTAACCTCGACATCTTTATTTTGAATTCAACTTTAGATGCATTCAGACAATTCCTATTCTTGTTCTTATTTATTTATTTTTTAAATAAAAACCGGGCTTTAGAATATCTTTTCCATTCTTATTCTTTGATAAAAATGTCGTATAAATATACTTCTTGACATCCTGTCAAAATTTCCAGCTTTAAACAGGCATATTTTGTTTCTATAACAGGATCTATTTAGAAAAACAATTCCCTTATGTAGATGATCGCATCTAATTTTATTAGTTAAGTGGATCCACTTATCACTAAATAAATGTAACTTAGAATATTAAGACTATTAAATATATTAATAACTTCATAGCAGGTCTTCTTACAGGCGTACCAGAACCATTTTTCCGGGTCTCATATTTAAGATGCTTCAAAAATATTTCTTACAAATTATTCATTCTATTGAGTCTTTTGTGTATTAAGAAAAACTTTTAAAAAATTAATTATTTAAAAAATATAATATGAATTTTAGCGTTTTTGTTTTGCTATTTTTTTTTTTGAATGTACTGGGGCCCAAAAAGTTAAGTGTTCTGGGCCTCTCTCGATATCTGATAAACCTTGTATTATGCTAATTAGTCTAATATTTCGAATATCATAATATTTAATCTTCAGTGAGTTAACTACATTTCTGTACTTTAGAAGCTTAATTAGTGGCGAAGTGTGGAGAAGGAGAACTAAGGGAGTTCGAAACTAGGGGAAGCACCTAACTGGTAAAGGACATTTTTTTTATAACTCTTTCGGCTCTGTGGGCACTAAGATGGTCTTTTTTAGGCAATTCCATATGGGTTCGGCCAGGCCCACAATGGGAACGGAGCCCAACGTATTTGGACGGACCACTCCAGAAAAATTCCTGGGAATTTTTCAACTCGTCCGGATTCGAATCGGGTTCTCCAAAGTGGAAGGTTGCCACCTTTAACTAATTTTTGACACTAATTTTTGTCATTTGATACAGTTCTAATAAACATATCAAACTTGAATTTAGACAATGGTTTAGTTATCATATCTGAAACATTAATTAATTAATCTCGATTAGTATATATTCAATAACATAAACATTATTAGTAATTTGTTGGTTTAAATAACTTACAAATCTCATTAAGCTCAGCTAGCAGTACTAATCAGAAGAAATTTATTTGAAATTGAGTAATGAAAGAATTTAATTTTTAACAAATTGTAAAGATGAGCAGCAGGGGAAACAGTGCTTCCATCGCTTCCTATCATCCTCGCCGCTTAGCTTAATTATTATATAAATAATCATATAATTTATACTTAAAATATATCCACGTCCATTTTAGGACGTAAATATATTTTAAGTATAAATTATATGATTATTTATTTTAGGATGGAAACTCAATTTTATATTAAGGTGTAAATTCTTGCGTTGAGATCTATGGAATAAAATGTTACATATGTTAATTTAATAATGAATAGTAAAAATATATAGTATATGAATATAAATTTCAGAATTCTCTTTACTATTTTAATAATTTTTGAATTATTTTCTGTTTTAAAATTTAAATGATAAAAACATATTCATGAATAATTCTATTGCAAATTTTACATTTTTTTTTATTATATATTCTTCTAGTGAGATAACAGCGTTGTTGTTTTCTTATTTACTCCATAAACAGAGCATAAAAAGCGTTTGAGATTTAAATTTTCAATGTTCAATTACGCTATTTTTCTCTACAAAACTGAAGAAATATTCTTGTAGTTTTATTATAAATACAAGAATAGTTTGTAAAAATATAGGACTATATGTTTAATGATTACGGCTTTAGAAATACGGAAATTCGCTCAGATTATTGTATACTGTTATTCAAAATTATTTTTGAGATTCATCGGAATAAAGATCTTCTTATCGAGTTAAACTAATTGATCCTTTCTATCTTCATTTTGACTGCTTAGATTTGGTTTTTTGCCTATCTAACTTCTTAGATTAGTCAATCTTTACTTCGACCTCCCAGCCATTTCCTTGTTCATCGATGTTCTGGAACGGTTGTTCAATTTCCATTCCAATTTTTCCGTTCGATCATCTTTTAACTTTATTAAAATTCTTTAAATGTTATTTAGATTTATGACTTAATTTCTATGATATTTTACAGAATAAAAACATTAGTAATTCCTCATAATATGAAGTACAAAATTATTAAGTTTAATCAAATTTAAGAATTGAAACGATTCTTAATCCAAATGTCCTAATAAAAAAGTTTTTTATTATAATTTAGAACAAGAAAATTGCAGAGTATTTTAAATAAAATTTATAAAGATTATCACAACAAATATTATTAGAATATAATTATTAAAAAATTAAAATTTTAATANTGCTTTTCTTTTAAGCTGATGCAAAATTGATGAGAAAATTAGTGATAGTAAAATAACCTACTGATTTATGGATATTTATGTAAATGATAATGAAATATTTATTATATAAAATCTGCTAACTTTAAATTTTTTTGTAGAGAAATTTCATAACTCAAAAAATCTGTTAGGTTTCGGAAAATATTTGATTTAATAGTTATTTTTCAACTAAAAAATAGTTTTTAATTACTGATATGTTTAATCCAAGATTCAATAGATACTATTTAAAATAAAAGAAATTAATATTCAGGAATATATTATTTTCAGAAACATCATCTTGTACTGTTTAAGTATATATATTTCATAAATTATATTAAAATGGAAGAAGAGTTGCAAAATAAAAAATTTCAAAAGAATGATTCAAGTATGAAATAACATATTTGAATATTATTTGTAATCATTCTTTTGTTAATTTTAAAATTCTGTGATTATTCTCTTGCTTTAATGGAGTTTATGAATATTTAAATTATACTTTGAAAATGGATAAATGTATTTGAAAATGTTAGATTAGTGGATAAAATTTTTTATACTTGATAAAGTTCTTGCTGATTCTTAATAAAAAATAAGGAGGAATGGTAAGTTTAACTTGCTTGAAATACAACTTTTACAAATTACTTTTTTAATATAATTTGATATGTATATTTGCTAATATACAAAACAAAATTACATATGATTTATTTTAAAAAATTAATATGGTATATATTTTTATTGTTGAAAATGTGTATTTAGTTTATCAAACAACTACATTGGTCAATTTGAAAAATGAATATATTATAATATTAATACCGTATAAATTTATATGTTATAGTTTATTAATTTAAATGCAATGAAAAGTTTATTATTAATAATACTAAATTTCATTGTAAAAATTAAAATTAATTATTTATGTTTATTTTTGTTAAGTTTTGAAACAAAAAACTGTTTTTTAATCTTCCGATGGAAACCGATCTCCCCTCCAATACAAATGGGTAAAATCCGGAAGCGGAATGACGTCACAGAGGCAGTGTGCATCTGTGTCGTCGAGAACATGCCGGTTAACGAGACTCCTAATAACTTGAAGACATCAAAACACAAATCAAAAACAAAGAAAATAAATAACGAAAAGGAAGTTAAGACACCAGTACAAGTTAGTGAGAATAAGGTAATGTATTTATACTGTTATAAGCTGATAATAGAGAGATAGATTATATTGTACATAAGCCTAATGCATTCAATGTTGTTTACAATCTCAATTATGCTTTTTTAGTATTGTAATTGACATCTAAATGATTAATTTGATTGAAAATATCTGATGCAATTTCAAAAATTGCAAATGTTAGGTTATTCTTGCTATCACATGTCTATATCACACACAAACATCTATAAGAGTATTTACTTTAAACATCTTGCATGTAGTTATCATGAATTGCCATGTATTATATCATTAATCACATAACTAATATATTTTTTATAGAAAATATATCTACTCCACGCCAAAACTTATATAATTAGAATGGATACTGTCTTTTGGAATTATAATTATTTTTACATTAATAAAAATAGTTAAGCGAGTACTTTCATATACTAAATAGAACATGTTAATAATATGTTGTAATTAGCTTGAGGAAGATGTTAATATAATGTCGAAAGTACTTGCTTAACTATTTATTAATATAAAAGTAATTATTCTTTACTTCAAACTGGGTGCATAAGTAGACACTGGGCATCTTTGACATCATTCTGTATTCAGGAATATCTCACACCAATATATATTTACGACAGATGCCCCTCTTCTGTTGGCTTTTTCTTTAAGACATTTAGTAAAGAGGTGCTGACTAATACACGTCATTTTTTAAAATATATATATATTTACAGTTAAAATTTCTTGACAGTGCACTGAACAGTGCTTAGCTTTTACTGGTGATGATGGTTTTATAATGCCAAAAGACAGTATCCTTTATAATTGACAATATTTTATCACTCATAAATTACATTAATTTTTTTATATATTACAAATATAATAATACAGTAGAGCTTCGAAAACTTGGCCTAATGTGGACCGAAGGGTGGCCGAGTTTGTGAAAATGCCGGGTTATTGGGAATGGGGTTAAAAAAGGATAAGTATGCGTGTTTCCTCAGAAAATATTGTACTGAACGTGTATGTATTGTTTGCTTGAGAATACAACAGAGAATAAACTGCCCAAATACCCTTAAACAAAGGAAAAGTACGTCCTTTATGAAGGCATAGAGCCTTTACTACATGAAAATGAAAATTAATGAATACACTGTGTACAGTAATTTACCTGATAAGACAGACCTCAGAAAAATACTTTATGAGAGCTTTTATACTTTTATAAAGCTGTCTATAATGAAAATTAATTAACTAAGGATTTTTTTGCCCTGCCAGGGTGTGGCCGAGTTATCCGGAGTGCTGGGTTATCGAGTGCCGAGTTTTCGAGGCTCTACTGTAATAATAATAATAAATTTTGTAATTATTTCATTGTAAATGTATCACATTTTAATAAAACTTAATTTTTTTTTTTTATTAAACTTCCAAAATCTCAAGTTGTAATATTGTTATGTTTATTAATTAATTTTAATATATATGCTTTTCTTTTAAGCTGATGCAAAATTGATGAGAAAATTAGTGATAGTAAAATAACCTACTGATTTATGGATATTTATGTAAATGATAATGAAATATTTATTATATAAAATCTGCTAACTTTAAATTTTTTTGTAGAGAAATTTCATAACTCAAAAAATCTGTTAGGTTTCGGAAAATATTTGATTTAATAGTTATTTTTCAACTAAAAAATAGTTTTTAATTACTGATATGTTTAATCCAAGATTCAATAGATACTATTTAAAATAAAAGAAATTAATATTCAGGAATATATTATTTTCAGAAACATCATCTTGTACTGTTTAAGTATATATATTTCATAAATTATATTAAAATGGAAGAAGAGTTGCAAAATAAAAAATTTCAAAAGAATGATTCAAGTATGAAATAACATATTTGAATATTATTTGTAATCATTCTTTTGTTAATTTTAAAATTCTGTGATTATTCTCTTGCTTTAATGGAGTTTATGAATATTTAAATTATACTTTGAAAATGGATAAATGTATTTGAAAATGTTAGATTAGTGGATAAAATTTTTTATACTTGATAAAGTTCTTGCTGATTCTTAATAAAAAATAAGGAGGAATGGTAAGTTTAACTTGCTTGAAATACAACTTTTACAAATTACTTTTTTAATATAATTTGATATGTATATTTGCTAATATACAAAACAAAATTACATATGATTTATTTTAAAAAATTAATATGGTATATATTTTTATTGTTGAAAATGTGTATTTAGTTTATCAAACAACTACTAATTGAACTGATGTCACTAGAGAAAAATTTAAATTTTAAAATTTGTTGGTAAATTTTGGATAATCAATCACTTGTTATGGAAAGAATAAAAAGATAAATATCTTAAAGTAAAAATATTAATATGAATTCTGGTACAGTACAACAAAGGTTAAATCATAAAAATTTAACAAACATGAATCATAAGAAATATCAAAAAAAAAAAAAAAAAATTGTTTAATTGGTAGAAAGAAGCACTACTTTTTCATTATAAATCTACAATAAGCTGATGGAACTTTGAATTGAAAATAAAAAGAGATAATAGTAAAATTAATATTAAATAAATAATTTTTATATGAGTACTGTACTTTATTATAGCTGTTTTTTTGAAGGAAGTTACTTATTTTGCCTAGTTATATATTAATGGTAATAATGAGATAGCTCAATAGCATGTCTATAGAAGATTGCTGACAATCATTATGCAAAAACTTTGTAATTTCTGGAATTAGTACACATTGAAATCAATTTCAGTTAATCCATTTTTTGAATAATTGATGCTCTACTGTATCTTTTTTCTTCTAATGCATTTTGAAATTATCCTGTAACATCTAGTGAGTGCTAGTTCATAATATTTAATTCTATAATGATATATGCTATATCTAAAATTTAATTCCATTTAAAACCAAAAAAATTAGTAACATGATTCTTAATTATTAATTCTGAAGACGAAGATTTAGTGTTTGAATGTAAACATCTGCTTTTTAGTCCATAAAAATTTTATAGAATGTATTCAAAGTTCATTCCATTTCTGTGTAGAATATATTTTGTTCAAATATTGTTTAACTGAGGAAGCTTGAAACAGTAGGCAAAAGTATTTTTTAATATAAAAAGTTTAACATGATCTGTCTTATTATATTCATTCAAAATGTAAGAGTTTTGCTTTGGTTAATCAATAAATTTTAATAAGTCAGTTAAATTATTACCAATTCATATATCATTATTATTTTTTAAATTTCTCTTTTAACTCCTTTAACTCTATAATTGAAAAATGACAGCCTTTTCAAGAAGTCATAAAACTAGTTTTTTAGTGCATTTTCAAGGTTTTTCACTTTTATCCTCAAAATCTACATTGAAATAAAAAAAAAAAACAGCAATGGAAATTACAACTAAGCTAATCATATTTTATATAAAATAGCATACTGTTTATATCATAAAGCTGAAATTTTCGATAATCTTTCAAATTAAATTTGAAGCTAGTTCTGTACATTTTTAAATTCAATGATGTAAAACTTTAAAAAAAATAAAAGATTTTATGTGGAACTTTGTTGCTGTCATGCTATTACCAATAAATTGTTGACTTAGTTAAAAATTTTATTATTATTTCATTTGCCATCTCTTTGTTGGGCTGCAGTTTTCAAATTGCAGACCTCTACATTCTCATTGTTGTCTGTTTGTCTCTCTGTCTGTCCTTTGTTAACTTTTAGCTTATTTATTAGTTTTCCATTTTTTTTTTCTTATTACAATAACTTTTTTATTGAAATAAATGAATATTAAAATTAATTATAATGGAATTATAATTAATGATTTTGTGTTTATGTTGAAACTTTAAGAAAGAAAAAATACATTAAAACATTTAAAATAAGCTTTCTTTTATATCTGTTAAAAATTCATTTAAAAAGGAAAGAAAATGCTAAAATATACCAAAAATTGACAAATCAGAATATATAATACATCTGAATGATAAACAAATATTTATTCTTTTTGAACATGTATCATTTTATTATTTTGAAAAATGGAAATTTTATTAGTTCATTTTATTGCTAAATTATCATTTATGTATGATGTATTTATGATATATTTCATACTAGCAGATAAGCCCAACATTGCTTGGGCAAAAGTAACATTAGCGAAGATTAAGTTTATTACATTATAGTCAACCTTACCCATTTTCACAGAATGCAAGAATTGGGTCCTCCTGTTTCCAGACTAATTAGAGAATTTTTAGATGAGTCTAAAAATATGTTAGATTTCTCGCAAAAATGAAAAAAACTGCATCTACTTCTTGCACATCGCTTTCTCTTAACAAGTAACACTTCCATTGTTGATGGAAGTGTTAAGCCTTAATCCTGTCCCTCTCCTCTGTGGGGAGGAATTTCAAAAAATCCCTTCTTAGTGTGCGTTCTTGTGACGTACCCTAACTGTGTACCAAATTTCAACTTTCAAATCCTAACCGTTCAACATCCTGGAACATTCCGGAATGTTGTGGAATGCTCTCGAATATTCTGGACTGTTCTAGAAATTTCTAGAGGGCGAAACTTCCAGCCCTTATATCTTCAACAGCATACCCTTCAGGTAAAACGGGAACCTTTTTCATGGATGAGGGATAGAGGGCTACCACACCATATATCTCCCTTGATCGTACCGGGACTCAAGTGGCACACACATTGTACACTTACCTTTATAATATATATTGATTGATTATTTTATTTACTGTACATACTGTTTCACATAGTTTTTAATTTTTAAAATTTGTACTCTATATTGTTTGCACTAAATTTTATATTTTGCCTTTTTCAAATCTTAACTTATTTCAAAGTATCAAATAAACTAAGATACTAATATAACTCCTGTAAATTTCCCAAAACATTTTTTTATAGAATGAACAATTTTGGAGATTTCATTTAATTGTTGTTTCATCTGCAGTACATATATATTTATTGGCAATCATTAATAAAAATAAGCAGTTTTATAAAGTTTTTAAAAAATTTTGTTTTATACAAAAAAAGATATAAAATAGA